GACAACATATGTGGTTGGAATTCTTGAAAGACTATGATTTTGGCTTGAATTATCATCCCAGTAAAGCTAATGTTGTGGCTGATGCTTTAAGTCGGAAGTTGTTGCACATGTCAGCAATGATGGTTAGAGAGTTGGAGCTTGTGGAACAGTTTAGAGACATGAGTTTAACATGTGAATTAACACATCAAAGTGTGAAGTTGGGGATGCTAACAATCAACAATGATTTTCTTACTAGGATTAAAGATAATCAGAAACTGGATGTGAAATTGGTGGGCTTGATGGCTGGAGATGATCAAGCTGCAGAAAATGATTTCAAAGTAGACGAACAAGGTGTGTTGAGATTCATGAATAGAATTTATATTCCCGATAATGTGGAACTAAAGAAGATGATTTTAGAAGAAGGTCATCGGAGTAGCTTAAGTATCCATCTGGGAGCTACTAAGATGTACCAAGATCTGAAGAAGATATTTGGTGGTCAGGAAGGAATCGTGATGTTACGCAGTTTGTTTATGCTTGTCTGACTTGTTAGAAGTTGAAGGTTAAGCATCAGAGACTTGCAGGGTTGATGCAACCATTGGATATTCCAGAATGGAAATGGGACAACATTTATATGAATTTTGTGATGGGATTGCCAAATACTCCGAGGGGGCATGATGTTATTTGGGTGATCGTAGATAGATTGACAAGGTCGGCCCATTTTATTCCGACTAACATCAGTTTTTCTATGCAGAAGTTAGCGGAGATCTACATCCGTGTAATTGTTAAGTTGCATGGAATTCAATTGAGCATTGTGTCAGATAGAGATCCGAGGTTTACTTCCAGATTTTGGGAGAGTTTTCAAGAGGCGTTGTGTACTAACTTGCGGTTGAGTTCGGCTTATCATCCACAGATGGATGGTCAGACAGAGAGAACTTTTCAGTCGTTAGTAGATCTGTTGAGGGCTTGTGTTCTTGAGTAAAGATATGCTTGGGATAGTCACTTGTCGTTAATTGAATTCACTTATAACAACAATTTTTATTCTAGTATTGGGATGCCACCTTTTGAAGCATTGTATGGTTGGAGATGCAGGACGCCTTTATGTTGGCATGAATCTGGTGAAAGTGTGGTGCTTGGACCTGAATAAGTCCAACAGACTACGGAGAAAGTGAGACTAATTCGGGAACAAATGAAAGCTTCTCAAAGTAGACATAAAATCTATCATGACAAGAGGAGAAAGGATCTTGAGTTCTAGGAAGGGGACCATGTGTTCTTGATATTCACTCCAGTGACCTGTGTTGGACGTGCCCTGAAGTCAAAGAAGCTCACTCCTCGATTTATATGTCCATATTAGATATCCGGGTGAGTATGAGTGGTTTCTTATAGAGTGGCGTTGCCACCAAGTCTGTCCCATTTGCAATATGTATTTCATGTTTCGCAGTTGCGGAAGTACATTCCAGATCCGTCGCATGTTATTTCAATGGAGGATGTGCAAGTAAGGGATAACCTTACTGTGGATGCTTTACCTATGAGAATTGATGGTCATGAGGGGAAATAGTTGCGGGGCAAGGAGATTGCTCTCGAAAAGGTCGTGTGGGGAGGCGCTGCTGGAGGAAATGCAACTTGGGACTTAGAGAGCAGGATGCGAGAGTCGTATCCTGAGTTTTTTGCATCAGGTAATTTTTGAGGACAAAAATATTCTAAGTGGGGGAGAGTTGTAATGTCCCGTTTACTTTAAATTATTTTTCGTAATTTACTTTTGTGAAGTTGTGTATATTAATAATTAAATTATTAATATACCCTGTGATAGGGGATATTGACCTTAATGTTAATGACCTCAAGGGTGAGAGGTGTGTGGCTGATCTTGTAGAATTGGTGGGGTGGTGAGAATGATTAATAAGTAATATTAATAATTCAATTATTATAAGTTAATGTTGTTATTATTTTAGTTAAAAAATAATTGGTAATATTAATATTGGAATAATTATAATTATAATAATATAAGAATATTAAGGTGAAAATGAGAAGGAGGGGCATAATTGGCAATTGAGAGAATGCTGAGGACATAATAGAGAGTTAGAGTAATAAGTAAGGGCATAAGAGGAAAATCATAGTTGAGGGGGTTATAAGGGAATTGGAAGATTGTAATCAGTTTCTGATCGTACGTGTTTTGGTATTGATAGTGAAAAAGGCTAGGGCTAGAGGAGAAGAAGAGGAACCACCATCACTGAAAGTCTAGAAAGCTTGATTTCGAGGTAAGGGCGGGGTTCTGGTTTTATAAGGGTTAATATGTTGAATGGTGGCTAAAAGTTAGGTTTTGTCTTATTGGTGAATGTTGTTCTATGTTATGATTACTATGAATACTTGATCAATGATGAAATTGTTAGTTGATTGTGTGATAAATGATGTTTTTCTAACTGATATATGATGAGTTCTGTACATATATGAGTGTAGTAATTATGTTTTGGAGATTGTTGAAAGTGCCTCCATTGTTGAGTTTTGAAGCTTCGAGTCGGAAGTTGGAAATTGATGATAATTTGTTGTTAATTCATGAGTAAAACATAGCCTAATTGAGTTTTAGGATATTATTTTGATATAAAATCAGGTCTAGGGTGATGGAGGTTAGTGGTATAGATTTTGGAGTGATAATCTGTGGTGAAAATGTTTTTTTAAGAAAGTGATTTTTAGGGTTCGGAACAGTGTGAGTCGACCGCTAGAACCCCTGGGTCAACTTGAGGTCACCCGAATGTAATATTGTGGGAATTTGAACAGTATGAGTCGACTCATAGGCCTTGCGTCGACCTAAGTACCCTGCGTGTTGACCCTGCGGTCAACTCACAGGCAGAAAAACGCCAAAAACGGTTTCGGTCATAACTTTTTAACTGTTAATCCAAATAACGAACCGTTCGAAGCGTTAAAAAGCTAATGAGAAGAACTTTCACATGGTATAATTATAAGAACCATTTTTCTAATATTTTTATGTTTAATATGTTGAATATTACGACTATTGTTGTGCATGTAAAGGAGTCCCGTTGTAAGTGGCGAAACTTGAATGTTGTTATAAAGAGGTTGTTGTGGTGTTATTAGTGTAAAATGAGCATGTTTGATGATGTTATTATGATTATAACCATGATGGTGAGTTATTGTACACGATGGTGTTGGTGTTATTGTATGCATAAATAACTGCATTGCATACATTTCTGGACAGATGATCCGTTGTTGGTGAGCCTAAAATCCTATTGTGTGGATTGTGTAGGTAGCTGATTTAGAGGTGATGGATCAGTGAGTGGTTCTGGTCCTCCTAGGAGGTGGGGATCAGAACGGTTAACCTCAGTGTTCAAGAAAATTGATACCACATGCGTGCGCATTGAGTCGGGTGTGAGTCTCATTGCATTATATGTCATATATGTTGCTAAGTTGTTAAATACGTGGTGATGTGTGATTAATTGAGTTGTATCGTGTTATTTGTTGTTGTTTGGTGAGTAATTGGCGATGATATCATTGGATGATTGATGTGAAATGTTAGTTGAATTATTGTTGTGCTAACTTAGTGCATGTTGTTTAACATACTTTCCTTTATAATATCATGATATCTCACCCCTTCTGTTTGAATATTGCCTCCACGTGGACAATGTGCAGATATTCCGCAGTAGGACTCAGGTGTAAGTTGAAGATGGAGTCTCCTTATCTCTTCTTGATAGTTGGTGTCTGCTCTAATTGTAACAGTGGGGAGTCGTGGGGACGTTTTTATGATTTATATTTTCTTCGAGATTGTGGATATTGCCTTTATCTTGTCTAATTACTTTTAATGGATTATGTGATGCCACGTTGACTTTTACATGCCATGAAACAATAAATGAGTTTATGTTTCCGCTGCGAATAAAATAATGTCCAGGTTTTGTATGTTGGTCGTAACATTCTAAGTTTAGTGTATTTCTTTAATTACTCTGATATTTTATTTAAAAATATTACGGGGGTTTATTTAGGGTGTTACAAGGCGGGACGAGCATAGTTGAGGGTGCAACCTAAAATTTTGGTCCGCCCCACAAAAATGTGAGGGCGGGGCAGGACTGGCTCATGGACACTACACCTTTTAAGTTCAAAATTGCAAAAAAAAGAAAATTATGTTAATGTTCGCGCCCGTAAAAGTGCGCAAAAAATGGGGCGGGACAGGTCGAACATATTAGAGAGTGTAAGTCTAAACCCTTTATCTATCCAGCACTAAAGAGCAGGCAAAACAAACATACCCAATGAGCCGATTGCGTTTTGCTATCCCTAGATCAGTGGGGGTTGTAGAGTTTCTTTTCAAGTATTTTTTTTTCTTATTCATTTGCAAATTATATTACAACTCAAATTTAATTGAATATACAAATGTCTAACGTTGGATTAGAATACATGGCTTTCCTCTTGATTATTGGAGTTTGCGAATTGTTTTTTCAATTGCAAGAGGTATCCTACCATGTTTGGTTTGACTTTTTGAAGAAACAAAAGCAATTCTAAATATGTAGAATTGATTCTATAGTGATTTTGAGGTGTTTGGTTTAGAATTGATTCTGCGTTCGAAATTAATTCTATTTGAAGTTATAATTTATAGTTTCTGAGTTTAAACGTGATTTTTACATTGAAATTTGTTGTTCAACTCACTTTTACCTAAATGTATCTGATGACTTCGAAGAACACTTTTTTTAACAATCTCTCCAAGACTCACTCTTTTATTAGGTAAAACACATAAACTTGTATGAAAACAAACATAAATTTTGATTCTTAAAACAAATTCAAAATTTTTTTTAAATTTTTTTTTAATACGAATAGAAGAGAATATTTTATTTTTGTTTTTTAATTAATAAAAAAATTGTGATTAGTTGTTACTTAAAGCAAGGCGTCATAGTTTTTTCTCTATCGTTCTCTTTTCTCGCTTTTTGATACGATTCCAAATCCTCAAGCTAGTTCGTAGCAAAATCCTTTCTTTCCGCAACAAAAGCTGTGAATATTTTCACGTTCTAGTCTTTGATCAATCAATCAGAATGGAATCAACCAATCAAAATACTCAAGAACAAGAACAATCTTCTTCTTCTTCTCTTCGCAAGAGATTGCTTGAACAGGAAGATGATACTGATGCTTATTACGGCGCTCTTTTTCCTCCAGAAGCTTATGATACTTCCAAACGCTTCAAAACGTACGACTTGTTAGCCAATTTCGACAAGCCAAAACACGAAACCATCGTTATCTCTGCCCGTAATGATGAAGAAGTTCAAGATGACAGTGAAAGTGCTGATGGTGATAGAAGCAATGCCACGGGAACTCTCACATTCTTTTCTAGAAACCAGCAAGAGGAGCATCACAAGAATATCGATGATGATAGAAGCAATGCCGTGCAGACTCTCACATCTTCTTCTTCTGCTCTTCGCAAGAGATTACTTGAACAGGAAGATGATTCTGATTCATATGATACTTCCAAACGCATCAAAACGTACGATTTTTTAGCCACTTTCAATGAGCCAAAACATGAAACCATGGTTATCTCTGACAGTGAAATTGATGATGATGGTGATGATAATAGAAGCAATTCCGTGTGGACTCTCACATTATTTCCTAGAAACCAGCAAGAGGAACATCACAAGAATATCGCAAGGACATATGCAGCACGAATTCACAATGCTTCGGAGAATAAAAACAACGATGTTGTGAGCAATGCGGCTGATAAAATCGATGATGATGATGATGTGGAAGATGAAGTTGACGATGATTCTCCTACTTCATTCTCCAAAGCAATCAAAGTTGTTCAAGAATGGGCCAAGAGAAACCAGAAAAGAGGGATTGTTGAAAAAGATTCGGTTAGGAGAAGGTCCTATGTTTCCTCGTTGCAAGAACTGTCTCTTAGCATTCTAGCTCGGCATTCTGATGCAATTGCTTCGCTCGACTGTGTCAACGACGAGTTCAGACAAAGGCTTAGTAATCTGCTGTGTGATTCAAGAAAAATGAACTGTCACTTTCTTGAACTACTTACTGGTGTTCCGACTCAAATTCGGCTTACAGACTGTTCCTGGTTGACAGAAGAAGAATTTACTAATTATTTTCAAACACTCGTCACTTCCGAATTAGAGGTATGTCCATTAATTTTGCTACAATTCAACATGTTTCTTTCCTATTCGAATTTGTGTTTATACGTTTATTTGTCAAATAGGTTTTGCAACTTGACAAGTGTGGAAGAATTATGAATGAATACACATTACGTGCTACATTGGCAAAGTCACCAAACTCCTTGTCTAAATTAACCATTCTATCGCTCGCTGGTGCATGTCGTCTTACGGATGAAGGATTGCGGTTACTAGTTTCGTCTGCAACAGAACTTAAATCTATAAACCTAAGCCAATGTTCCCTTCTCACTTGTGCTAGTCTTGAAATTTTGGCTGATTCATTAGAATCAATTTTGAAAGAGTTGTATATTGATGATTGCATACTCATTGATGTTGCGCGGATTTTACCGGCATTGAAGCGATTCAAGCAATTACAAGTGTTGTCACTAGCTGGTGTTCCAACTGTTTCTGATAAATTTATCAAGAGTTATTTCATCTCGTGCGGTCATAACATTAAGGATCTTGTTTTAAAGGACTGCGTGTAAGACGGTTTATTAGTAAGATTCGTTATTCTTTTGTATAATGCTAAAAGGACTGTGTTTAACTACATATTATATTTCTTCTTGTGCAGAAATTTGACAGATGCGTCGATGAGAGTCATTGCTGAATATTGTTCTAGTTTGCGCGTGCTTGATATTATGAACTTGGAAATATTGACGGATTTATCTATTGGTTATCTTGCGAATAGTTGTTGCGGATTGCGTACATTGAAGCTCTGCCGCAATCCATTCAGGTTGAATTTTTGTACTTTTTGATGCTTTGCTTTTGCTATCCTAAACTCCTATTGCTTAATAATAATTTTAACTTTTTTCCATTATAGCGATGAAGCGATTTCGGTATTTTTGGAGTTAGCTGGCAAAACCTTGGAAGAACTTTCTCTTAATAGCATTAAAAAGGTAATGCAGTACACATTTTCTTGCCTAATATCTCTTTCTGCTAAGTTAAATTTTTTGAGTGTCTGACATTTTGGTTTAATCCAGGTTGGCCTATTGACAGCCACATCACTTGCAAAGAATGGCCAAAACTTGCATACCTTGGATCTATCATGGTGTCAAAATCTGTCTGACAATGAGCTCGGTTTAATTGTCGATAACTGCTTGTCACTGAGGTCACTTAAGCTTTTTGGATGCTCGCAGGTATATAACTCTCTCAAAGGTGTTTTTATTGATCAATTTGACGTAGTCTTTAGACGAAGAAATAAGCTGATTTGTTAGGGGAAGATTTTGAATGTTTTGTACTTTTCTTTTGCAGTTAACAAATATGTTTTTCAAAGGACACTCAAACTCAGGGACTCAGATCATTGGGTTGAAGTTGAATCCTTTATTTCAGCGCTTCGAAGAGCCTAATCGTAACAAAGGCAGTTTGCGTTAGTCATCGGTCTCGCAGAAAACTTTGATATAAATTAAATATGTAGGTGATATTTGGCATAACTTGCTTTCTGAAGAGATGTTAAAATTACTCTATTGTCCGTTTTCGACTTATGCTTCAGTGATATGTTTATAGACCGTAGTCGAGTTGTAACCGGAGAATATGGGTCATTGGATATTAGGAAGGGCTAGTCACGGTTTTAACTTTCATAAAGACTCTTTGAAAGGACTAGCCTAATACAAGATTATATTTCAAAACTTAAGATTATTATTAATTTGGAATTCAAAAAAATTACGAAATTCGACAAACTTATCTCAAACATTATGATCAAAATAACTAATTTTAGCTCGATAAACAATATTATATTTAGAATTTGTAATGTAATTTATTGAGTTATGTCTTAAATCCTCTCCAACACGCACTAACCTATAAAATTTAGCTTTTATTCAACTTATTATCATTTGAAACCTCAAAAACACCTTATATTTATTAGTAATAATTCATATTTTATTATATTATTTTCTTAAGCCCATAAGTTTGTTAGAGGGCATTTCAGTATTTTATCTTATTCTAGTAACCCTAGTTTTAGCCTATAAATAGGGTGACAATCATTGTAACTCTTAATCCTGTTTCTTCTGCCGTCATTCTCTTTAATAGAATATTTTCCTATTTTCATTATTCTATCTTTGCACCAACAATTGGTATCTAGAGCTCCGGTTCAGATTCATTGGGAAACACGGGAAACACGAGTGAACGTGAGGTCTTGTGTGTTTGATTTTGTTTCTCAGATTCTTGTTGAATCTTGAACAAAATCTGATCAGAATTTTAAATTCTGTGGGTTGGGAAACACTGTGTGAAAAATCTGAGTGTATTGTGCAAAGTAGAAGATGAACGGAAACGGCAACATGAACACCAAACTTCCAGTATTTGATGGTAAAAACTGGAATCGTTGGATGATCCAAATGCGTGTACTATTTGGTGCTCAAGATGTTCTAGATCTTGTCACTGATGGTTATGTTCCAGTAGCAGCAGATGCAACCGATGAACAGAAAAACGCGCAGAAGGAAGTAAGGAAGAAGGATCAGAAAGCATTGTTCTTCATTCATCAATGTGTGGATGTAAACGTGTTTGAGAAGATTGCAGACTCTACAACAGCAAAGGCTGCATGGGACACTCTGGTGAGATGTTATGGTGGTGACGCATCAGTGAAGAAGGTGAAGCTTCAGTCCTTGAGAAAGCAATATGAGAATCTCAACATGAAGAATAATGAGAAAGTTTCTGAATACATCTCCAGAGTGATTCTGATCACTAATGAGATGAAGGCATGTGGAGAAACTCTTTCTGAAGAAACAATCATGGAGAAAGTATTGAGATCCCTTACTCCTCAATTTGATTACATTGTGGTAGCAATAGAACATTCCAAAGATCTGAGCACAATGAGAATTGAAGAGCTGCAGAGCAGTTTAGAAGCGCAAGAGTTGCGTTTGACTGAGAGAACTTCTGAAAGGAAAGTAGAGCAGCAGGCTCTGAAAGCAATTTCTGATAGGAGGTATCAGAAGCAGTCAGAAGCCAAGAGAAGATCTGATGGTGGTCAGAAGTCAGAAACCTCAACCTCTGATAGACAAAAGAATGCTCAGAAGGGAAAAGAGAAGTATGACAAGAAGAAGATCCAATGTTACTGTTGTAAGAAGTTTGGTCACTTTGCTAGAGATTGTTGGTCAAACAAGGAGAAGAAATCAGAAGAAGCAAATATAGCCAGAAGTTCTGATGACGAATCTGTGTTATTGATGGCCTCTGAATCTGATGATCTGACAGACTGGTGGTATATGGACACTGGCTGTTCAAATCATCTTACTGGAAACAAGAAATGGCTGGTTGATTTTGACTCTGAAAAGAGGACAAAGATCAGATGTGCTGATGACAAATATCTTAATGCAGAAGGTATGGGAAATGTCAGAGTGACTCTGAACAATGGGAAAACAGCATTGATTCAGAATGTGTGGTATGTACCTGGCATCAGAAGCAATCTGATGAGTGTGGGACAATTAATTGAGAAAGGTTTTTCAGTTACCATGAAGGACAATCTTCTGAAGTTGTATGACTGCAATCAGAAGTTGATTATGGAGTCAGAACAGGGAAGGAATAGAACATTCAAGGTGAATGTCAGAACTGCAGACTCAGAATGTCTTAGTGCAACAAGTACTGAGAAGGAGAGTGAGCTGTGGCACAGAAGATTTGGTCATTTGAATTTCAGAAGCTTACAACATCTGAATTCAAAGAAATTGGTACATGGAATTCCTGCAATTAAGAAGCCTGAAAAGTCATGCAAAGTTTGCATGGAAGGAAAACAACCAAGATTGCCATTTGCATCAGAAGTTGCTCCAAGAGCAAAACATACCTTGGGAGTTGTACACTCTGATGTGTGTGGTCCATTTCCAGTAGCATCAATTGGAGGGAATAAATACTTTGTGTTGTTTGTTGATGAATTCACAAGAATGACATGGGTATCCCTTATTAAGTTCAAACACGAGGTGTTTGATGAATTCAAGAAGTTCAGAATGAAGGCTGAGAATCAGAGTGGTCAGAAGTTGAAGATTCTTAGAACTGATGGTGGAGGTGAGTATAACTCCAAAGAGTTCCAGAAGTTCTGTGAGGAGAATGGAATTGAGCATGAGGTTACTGCTCCTTATACCCCTCAACACAATGGTCTTGCTGAAAGAAGAAATCGTACTTTGCTTGATATGGTGAGAAGCATGCTAAAGGAGAAGAAGCTTCCTCAGAAGCTCTGGGGAGAAGCTGTTGCCACTGCAACGTATGTACTCAACAGATGTCCTACGAAGAAGTTGAAGGAAATAGTTCCAATGCAAAAGTGGACTGGAGACAAGCAAAGTGTTAGTCATCTGAAGGTATTTGGTTCTGTTTGCTATAAACATGTTCCAGAAGCCAGAAGACAGAAGCTGGATGATAGAAGCAAAGTGATGATTCTGATAGGGTACCACAGTACAGGTGCATACAAGCTCTATTGTCCAGAAACCAATAAAATTGAATTCAGCAGAGATGTGATTGTGAAGGAATCAGATGTTTGGAATTGGGATAAGTCTCAATCTGATTCTGATGTTAGAACCTCTGAAGAAAGGCCAGAGTTAAGAATTTCTGAAGTTGAAGTAAACCCTGATATTGACTCTGACTCTGATACTGATTCAAACTCTGAAGAAGACTCAGAAGATGAAGGTGACCCAGATGACCCAGACTCTGATGATTCAGACTCTGATGGCAATCCAGATCTTGGTGGCAATTCAGACTCTGGAAATATGCCAGACTCTGAAGATGGTCAAAGCTCTGGAGGTCAATCATCTGAAGCTAGAAACTCTGAAGCTCAAGACTCTGAACAAGTTCAGAGACCACAAAGAATCAGAAGCGTTCCCAGAAGATTTGCAGAATTTGACATGCTGCAAGACACTGAAGTAGACTCTGAAGGAGAAGTTATTCAGTGTGCCATGTTAGTAGACTCTGAACCTATAAGTACAGAGGGGGCTCTTAAGCAGAAGATCTGGCTGAAGGCCATGAAAGAAGAACTTGATGCTATAGAGAGAAACAAGACTTGGAAGCTGACAGAACTTCCAAAAGACAAGAAAGCCATCAGCGTCAGATGGGTTTTCAAGCAGAAGTTAAAGCCAGATGGTTCAATTGGCAAACATAAAGCAAGGTTGGTAGCAAGAGGATTTCTACAGAAACCTGGGCTGGATTATTCTGAAGTGTTTGCACCTGTAGCAAGACATGAAACAATCAGAATGGTGATTGCAATAGCTGCTAACAGGAATTGGCCTCTGATGCATTTAGATGTAAAATCTGCATTTCTGAATGGTCCATTAGAAGAAGAAGTTTACGTGTTACAACCTCCTGGATTTGTGAAAAAGAATCAGGAAGGGATGGTGTACAGATTATACAAAGCTCTATATGGATTGAAACAAGCGCCCAGAGCTTGGAATCAGAAGATTGATTCATTTTTCAAGAAGCAAGGCTTTCAGAAATGTGAGATGGAGTACGGTGTCTATGTTCAGCATACTTCTGAAGGCAATATGACTCTGGTATGTTTATATGTTGATGATATACTATTGACTGGAAGTTCTGAACAGGAGATAGCCAAGTTCAAGAAGGTTCTAATGAATGAATTTGAAATGACTGATCTAGGCAAAATGACATACTTTCTAGGGATGGAGTTCAGATATTCTGAGAAAGGTATCATTTTGCATCAGCTCAAGTATGAATTAGAACTTCTGAAGAGATTTGATCTGAAGAATTGTAAGATGGCTGTCACACCTTCTGATACAAATCAGAAACTGGATTCAGACTCTGAAGGAAAGGATGTGGATGCTACAACCTTCAAACAGTTGGTTGGTTCTCTGAGGTATCTGTGCAATACCAGACCTGATATTTGCTACTCAGTTGGGATGGTTAGTAGGTTCATGAGTAAACCTAAGTGGTCCCATTACCAAGCTGCTGTCAGGATTCTGAGGTATATCAAAGGAACTCTGAAGTATGGAGTGTTATTTCCCTCTGGAGGAAATAATGAGTCAGAACTTCTGAGTTATTCAGACTCGGATTGGTGTGGAGACAGAGTTGACAGAAGAAGTACATCTGGGTACTTGTTCAAATTTCTGGGAGGTCCCATTTCTTGGTGTTCCAAGAAGCAACCTGTTGTGGCGTTGTCAACCTGTGAAGCTGAATACATTGCAGGTGCTGTTACTGCATGCCAAGCTGTGTGGATTCTGAATCTGTTGCAGGATCTGAAGATTAAGGTAGACAAACCTCTGAAGTTGATGATTGACAACAAGTCTGCAATCAACCTTGCCAGAAACCCAGTGCTGCATGGGAGAAGCAAGCATATTGAGACCAAGTATCATTTTCTGAGACATCAAGTTCAGAGTGGAGTGTTAGAAGTTGTACACTGCAGCACTCAGAAGCAGTTGGCAGATGTTCTGACGAAAGCTATCAAGACTGAT